AGTATTTTTCGACACTTTTTCCTCTAAAGTTTAAATCGTTATTTCGTTTGCATTAAATCATTAACTTTATCAAAAACAATAAGGGAAAATTATATATTAAGTCACTCAACTATTTTCACGGTTCTTTTTTTTATATTTTCTTTTTGAAAATAATCATTAAACTTAAGTTTTTTGTTCTATTTTGGTTACCCAATCCGATTGAAATTATTTTTTAAATATGTTATATATAAGATTTATGTCACCTATTTTTACTTGACATATAAATAACGAAATAAAAATAACATTTAAATTATTCATTTGAAATTTTAATAAAAGATATATTAAATATTAAATTAAAATATCATAATATTTTAATAAATAAAAATATAAATATTTCAGCAGCATCAACAGTCTCTTCAACAATCCTTCCTAGATTCAAGGCTCGCTTCTTCTTTTCAGTATGCCATGCCTTATTCTAGTTCAATTCCATTGCCAGCAACCTCAGCTATATTTGGTCAGCATATGCATGGGAACCACAAGGATAATATAGCTGTTGCAGAAGTAAAGGATGTAGTCAACGTTGGAGTAGATGTCCATTACTCAAGGGCCGAAATCATGTCTATGCTAGAGGTAATGTGCAGATATGGTTGTCTGATATGAGAATATTAGTATGAAGTATTCTAAATGATGAATGGCCTTCCTTCATCCCCTTGTTCGGTATAACGATTTGAAACTCGTATCTATTGAAGCTTCAAACTATGAAGTTACATGTTTTGTTTTTCAACGTGCCTACTGGAAATGTTATTTTGTAATGAAAGCTACCTTTTTGACAATTTCAGAAATTACCATGGATTAGCCAACTAAGCAGGTATGGAGCTATTCTTCTATCGTGCAATCACGTTCACGTAGCAGCAGCACTGTGGGAGTGAGGATGGATCGATTTCAGTCTGGCATGAAAGTCTTAATTTAAAAATTCATGATTTAGTCTAAGATTACATGTCTTCATTTGCGCGTGAAGGTTATCTGTTGACTATATGCATTGATAATTGGCTTAATTATCATCAAGATAACTTGGAAAGTAATTAGTTTATTACGATTAGTTAACAAAATTGTGCTTGTTTTCTATCAAGTATATAACCGGATTCAATATTTTGATGATTTTGAAAAGAAAATAGTTGGCTGACCAAAACAGAACCATAAAAATAATTGAGTGACTAAATATATAATTTACCCTTACTATTTTTGACAAAGTTAACTGTTCGGGGCACATGAGGTAATGATTTAAACTTCATTGTGAAAGCAAACAATAATCTTTGGTTTTGAAAACTGGTCAATTAATTTTACTTGCAGCGTAAATAGGTGATGGGAACGTGCTGCTGCCATGAGAATAACCATGAAAAACTAATAAAATATGTTAATCTAGCTTTTATTGCGATCAGAGAGTTTAATGTTGTTCTAGTTAAATCTTTTAAAATGTAATGAAAATTAATCAAGGTTTAATTATACAAATCATCAAGAATAAAATACAAAATGCAGAAGCGTACTTGAATAATTGATAAGTTGAAATCTTTAAGTATTTCTATGGTTGTGATCTTCCAAGAAGATAGAGTTCCTTTAAGTTTATTATTTAAGTATAAACTCTCTGACAGAGATAAAAATAAATAGATTATTTATTTCTTGAGGACCATAACCACTTTATATAGCTTATTTAAGAATCAATTATTGTATGACTTATAACTCTCTCATCATCAAATTATAAATACAACTTTAATATTATTTACATTATTTTATTTCTATGACATTTCTATTACCTTATGACTTTATAACATAATTGATCACTTAATTTATTTAATTAAATACATGTTCATAATTATAGATTTTAATCCAATGTGAAATACTTGATCCTTTATTAAGAAAAAAAAATAGCTCATATAATGTATATTAAAAACTTTTTTGAAATTAAAATCTTTGTTATAGTATATTAGTTTTCGATTACACGATAAAATTTTAAAGTCTTTAGGATTATACAAGACTTCCGCCTAATATCATGTTTTTTACATCGTCGTGTTGTCGTGTATTCTTGACAAATTTCACTAAGTATTAGGGATGGTAAACGGGTGGGTCGGGTGCGGATATTCATTCTTCCGTCTATATATCCACCTAATATTTTCAAATCCATTACCCACCCACCACCCATGATGGGTAAATTTTTTTCAAATCCACACCCGCCCACGTGGGTACATTCTCAAATTCATCCTCACACGTACTACCCAACTGGAAATGTACCCGGCTAGATCCGCCTGACAACAACCTTAAGTTATACATAAGCAACAAACATAAAACAAACACGTCGATTAAGAAACATAATAAAATAAACCAAGGATTATCTGAGTTAAGTGTTAACATAAATCTTAAAGTACGTAAAATATCATAATAAAAGGTAATTAATGCCTAGAAACATAAATGACAAACACATAATATTATTGTTCTTTGGCACGCATAAATGACAAACCCTAAAATTATATATAAATTTATAATGGTCCAAAATTTAATGAGTATTTAGTAGGCGGACAGATATGGGGCGGACGGATGCGGGGCGTGTAAGGTCTTAAACCCATCACCTGCCCACTACCCGAGATGTGTATCACTTTCTAAATCCATACCCACTTACTACCTACTAAAGTTATACCCATCCACGCCCCAATTGGAGTGTATATGATACGAAATCAACGAAATTGTACCCGTTTGCCATCCTACTAAATACTATAATAAAAGTCTTATATTTTTTAAGGAGTTTGGAGTTCGAGATTTAAGGAATTTAGGATTTTTGTTTTTTTTAACTTAAGTTTTTATAAAAATAAAATTTTTAGAAAATATAAACAAAACACGTCAGATTAGGGATGACAAAAAAAAAATCGAACCCGTCGGGGAAAATCGAAAATCGAATTAAACGGGTCGGGTTCGGGGATGATAACCAAGGACAGGGACGGGGAAAATTGAATTTTTTAAACGGGGACGGGGACGGGTTTGGTAATCCCCACCCCGATTACCCGAATACCCGCCCGATACCCGACCCGATAATATTAAAATAATTATTTTATATAAATATATAATATTAATAATTTTAATTTAAATTAAAAATATATATAAAGAATATTAGAATTTAGGAGAACACATCTTGACCTACTCGTCACTTTCCATGCGGCAGCTCTCAAGTCTTGCTTCATCGATCTTTAGGGCTGAGCAACGAAACCGAGAAAATCGAAAAACCGACACGAATCGAGTAAAATGGTTCGGTTCGGCTTTAAACGGTTCGGTTTTCGGTTCGGTTTAAAGGCTTCATTTTTTTGATTCGGTTCGGTTCGGGTTTTCCATATGGAACCCATTTGTTCCATATTGAACCGAATAGGCAATTTTTGTAAAAAAAATTATAGTTTCAAGTGATATTTTTATTGAAAAACCGATAAACCGAACCGAACCGAACTGAAAAACTCAAACCGTTAAAAAAACCGAACTGAACCGAAAAAACCGGTTTCGAGTTTTTTTTTTTTAACTATTCGGTTTCGTTTCGGTTTAAATATTGAAAACCCGTTTATTTCGGTTCGATTCAATTTTTGGTAAAAAACCGAACCGAACCGAATACACCCCTACCGATCTTCACCTTCCGTACTCCGCTGATGGTGACTTCACTTCACAGGCCGATCTTCTTTTCCCTCGACACTTCGACGGCCGATCTTCCCCTTCCCTAGTGACTTCTACAGCCGATCTTCCCCTTCCGAGTTCCGATCTTCCCTCGTGTCATCATGTGAAATTTAAACGGTAACGGGGATTTCCGCGGTGAAAAAATAACCATCTAAGGTAAACGGTTATCTAAACGGGTAATTTTCACCGCGGTTATCCCCGCAGTGAAAATTACTCGTTTAAATAATCGTTTATGCTAAACAAGGATACTCGTTTCCCCGCGGTTTTCCCCAATTACCCGATGGAGATCCCCGTTTAAATTTCCACGATTTTTTAAACGAGGACGTGTATAGGTTTTTTAAACGGGGACGGGGACCAATCCCGACCCGAAACCGTCCCGTTGCCATCCCTACATCATATAATAATTTTTTAACGGTCGTTCGGTCATAAGGACTCAAAAGTGTAAAAAACATTATACGCTTTTTTTGAGGGAAAAGTTCTACAAACAGTTAATGTTTTAATTTTATGAAATGTAGGATTTTGCCACGATGACACAACCACACTTGAACATGGAAAGCTTGAAAGTCAATTCCGGATCAAACTGTTGTCTTTTCCCCCCCTAAAATTATAATATAACTATTAATTTTAAACCATAATAATTTTTATTTATTTCCGACAATGATATAAAATGAAGAACATGCTTACGCGATTAAGTGGAACAATGATTTCCTTTACAAGCTATTAACTTTGGTTTTCTCCTCTTCACCTTACCAATCATCAAATATCTAATTAAAATACGGTTAGGTATCCTCTGACTTCCACTCTTTTTGCAGGCCTCACACCATAACAGAGGTTGCTTAGGGATTTGAGTTTGACCGGTTCAATTTTTCATAGAAAGAACCGAAACCGTATAGTTGACCTTACTTCGATTCATCCAAATGCGTAATTCCAAATTTTTATTATTTTTAAACATTACACTCCAAATCTCTTTCTGCCTATCACCAGACAAAAAATAAGTTGCTGGCCGCCTCCAAATTTTACTATTTCTTCATGTCTCTTCTGATTAAATAACTTTGAAATTGTATTTGATAAAAAATTTATGCAGAAATGAACCCTTAGTTCTTTTCATATAAAATAAGCGTTTTTCTAATACAAATTTTAGCCGCCTTTAATCTTGTTTTTTGGGACACTATGGGTTCCAATCACATTATTCCTTAAATTTGGTCCAAAAAATAAACATTTTTTTTTCTATATAAACCAAGTAGATTCTTTTCTTCTTCCCACCTCCGGATGTTATTGCATTTGAAGAAACTTAAACAATATAACCTCATCAAAAATAGCATGGTTTCTTCTTCTTCGTTGTCACCTTCATCTTTCGCCATATTTTCTCCATCTTTGAAGCATTACAATCGTCGACCATTTCAAGTTATTAGAGCCCAAAGCTGCAGAGATGGAGGTAACAATAACTTACTGGACTTCTCTTTCTTTTCTTTCCTTTTTAGTCTTAAATTTGTGTTGAAACTCAAAAGGCACAATTATGATAGACCGAGCGGAGAGCGGGGGAGTGCAGTAACTTTGAAAATTTCAAATTATATTATATTTTAATTTTTTTTCTTAGTATTTTTGTTAACATTTTGTTTTTGTCCCTAAAATTTTATAAGAATTTCATCCTCTAATATAAAATTCTATGTGATCAGGGAGATCAAGTAACGGGGTGGATGCAAATTTAAGGGTATTGAGGGAGAGAATAGAGCAGGTGAAGATGAAGGAGAAGCTGGAAAGATGTTGCAGATGGGAATATGGGTGGAATCATGGAGATGGATATAGTTACAACAAGGTGAAAAGAGATAAGGATAAGCAAGAGTTGTTTGAGCTTGTGAGTTTGGTCGGGACAACCGTTGGCTTCACATGCCTTACTGAAACTCTTTTCCTTTTTCTTGTTTCAATATTTGTTCATCTCCATCATTCATTTTATTAATTCATGCCCATATATATACAGAAATATTTGCAGAAAATAGAATTCAAGTTCTTTTATTGGTATTCTGATCATGTAAAATAGTTACAAGCATTTTGATTGATCCTTGTAACCACTTTTTATTTTTTATTTTTTTGGTATGGGGAGTGCTTGTTAGCTGGCTACTCCATATATATGATAAGTAAATTTGTTTACCTTTAATTTAATATAAAAGTTCAACTTGGCGGTACAGGTTGAATGTCAAACTTCTTTTTATTTTTCATCATTAGATTAAGAGTCATGACAACTGAGGTGGTGAGGAAGGCCTATATATACCTTTATTGGTGGATTGAGATTGGTTCCTTTAGTCCGTACTTTTTGAAAAAAGAAACTTATTTTATTACAATAACGAGGAGAGAACAACACACAAATGGCACCGGCCCAGCATGCAGTATAAACTAAAACGTGTGCATCGTAAGCATGAACCGACACTGCCTTCTCAAAACAACATAATTCAAAGAGTATAAATCCCGACTTTGAGTTTTTTAAAGAGCAAGATGGTGTTCTTGCCACCTAGTTGTTATCCGTTGTGAGTGAATCTGTGTTGCCTTATGTAATAGGGTTAAATACTTCCTCTGAAATCTGAAATACTTCGCATAAACTCTATAGTGGGAAGACAACATCTAGGTTAATATCTTAAAGGAGGCGGCTTCACTCACAGAAGAAAGGAGAAATGTCTATGAGAGACTATCTAATGACTGTTAAAACTATCTGTGATAACTTGGCTAATTGTGGTGAGCTGATCTCTGAACATGAATTCATACCAACCATCTTAAATGGCTTGCCAACTGAGTATGATGATGTGATCACTGTTATTATTGCTCGTACTTCTTCCTCTACCTTCGATCTGTCAGTACCATTTTATTAGATGTTGATGTTAGGCAGTCTTGTTACAATAGTCTTAATGCTTTTGCTAATTACTCTGCTCATCAACTGTCTGATAGGACTAGTGTGACCCCTCAGCAACAATATGAGAAAAGTACTAATGGATTTGGGACTAATAATCACTATGCTACTTGAGATAGTAGTAATAATAGGAGCAAAGGTCATTGTAGGTATATTGATTCTAGACCTCAATGCCAACATTTTGGTAGAATGAGACATTCGGTTGAGAAGTGTTATTATAGGTTTGCCATGACTTGCAAGAATGAATCCTCTAGGAATTCTCAAGGTAACAGTAACAGAAACCAAGAGTCTTCTCAGGCCAATGTGTGTTATTTCCCAATGCTTATTCCCATTCTGTTTATCTCAATACCACTCCCACTCAAGGATTCTCCCAACTAGTTCCTTCTGCTCAGAATCTTTTTCACTCATTTTCTTCTCCTACTCTTATTCTTTTATTCCTGGTGTCAGTAGAGCTAGTGCTCAAACTGTGTCTCCTCAATCTGTTTCTCACTGCAACCCTATAAATGCTTGGAATTCTCATGTTTCTCCTCAGCTCTTATTGCTACACCTAAAGTTTTGGATGATTATGCCTCATGATTCTGGAGCCACTCACCACATCACTTATAACTACAACAGTTTACAGTCCGATGATGTCTCCTGCCTCTAGAAATGTTCAAGTTGGTAATGATAATTTACTTCCTACTAAATGTTCTGGTTAGACCAAACTATTTGTTAATTCTAGTTTGTTTAAGCTTAAAAACTTGCTATAAATTCTTGAAATCACTAAAAACTTTATGTCTGTGTCCAAATTTACTAAGGACAATAATGTGTCACTTGAGTTCTTCTCATATTGTCGCCAAGTGAGAGATCTCAGATCCAAGAAAATGGTGATGAAGGGAACTAAAGTAGAAGACTTGTACAAAATTGAGCCGCCTCATGTTGAGTTTGTTAATGTCAAGTCTGTTTGTGAAGTCAGTCTTGTTAATAATCATTGTCCTGTTAGCAATAATGTTATTGTTAGTTTGAATTCTGTTACTAGAAATGCTTACTTGGATTTGTGGCATAAGAGATTGGGCCACCCTAGTAAGAATGTGTTGATTCAAGCTTTATAATTGTGTAATATTTCTTTTGATGAGAATAAAGAGAATCATATCTATTCTTCTTGCAGTTAGCTAAGTCAAACAAATCACCCTTTTTCTGCTTCTACAACTATTTATACTAAACCCTTAGAGCTCGTTGCTGATGATATACGGGGGCCAACACCTCTATGCTCTAATGGTTTTAGCTATTATGTTGCTTTTACTGATGCGTGTACTCGATATACTTGGATATATTTTTTGAAACAAATATCTAAAGTTAAAAATGTTTTTGTTTAGTTACAAAGCCAGGTTGATAGATAGTTGGGGTAGACTTCTTGTCCTTCAAACTGATAATGATGGAGAATTTTCTTCTTTGGAAGCTTATCTTAAGAATCAAGGTATTGTTCATAGAGTCTCCTACCCTCACTCTTTTGAACAAAATGATCTTGTGGAAAGGAGACATTGGCAGATTGTTGAAGTTGGGTTGTTCATTCTAGCCCAAGCTTCAAGGCCCCTTTCATTCTGGAATGATGCTTTTATATATGCTATTTTTGTTATTAATAGATTGTCTACACCTGTTTTGGGTGGTGTATCTCCCTATGCTAAACTATTTAATGTTGTTCTTGATTATAGTATGATTAAAGTCTTTGGATGTGTGTGTTATCCATTCTTAAGGCCCTTCAATAGTATAAGTTTCAATTTTGATCATCAGATTGTTTGTTTTTAGGGTTTTCTCCTAAACATAAAGAATATAGGTGTTTAGACTCCACTGGTAAGGTATACATCTCTAGGTGTGAAATTTGATGAGTATGTTTTTCCTTGTAGGTTTAGTCCAAAGTCTGCTTGGAAAAGGTGTTAGCAATTCCTTAATGTTCAGTTGCCTGACCTATATTCCTCTAAATCTGCTAGCTCATCGAGAAGGAGGTATCTTATTTTCCTTTCTTATCTTCATCACTACTACATTCACCGTATCTCTACCAGCAACCATCTCCACTCCATCTTCATCACTACTACAAGATCATATTTCATCATCATCACCACATCTACCCTCATCTCTACCAATAACAACCTCCATTTCATCTTCATATGTTCCTATTACCAATGCTCATCTCATGGTCACACGTGGGAAATTTGGAATTTTCAACCCCAATGTGTTTAGCACCGAGTTCAAAGACAGAGAACCTGATGATGTCTCTAAGGCTTTGCAGCATTCTTCTTGACAGACTGCTATTCACGATGAGTATAATGCCTTGTTTTGTAATAAGATATGGTCTATGCAGCCTCTTCCTCCTGATCGAAAACATATAGGCTACAAGTGGTTATTCTAAATAAAATGAAAACCTGATGGAGATGTTAACATATTGAAGGCTCGGTTAATGTGGGTACTGATTTTAAGGAAACCTTAGTCCAGTTGTTCGTGTTGCTACGATTAGAACTGTGTTTATTGCAACTGTCATCAAATGGTGGGTCATTAGACAAATTGATATCAACAATGCTTTCTTGAATGAAGAGCTTACTAAAGAAATCTACATGTAGCAGTCTCGTAGCTTTAAGTAGGTTCGGTCTGCTAGTGAGAGGCTTGTCTACAAGCTTGAGAAGGCTTTGTATGGCCTCAAGCAAGCTCCTTGGGCATGGTTTGGCACTTTGAAGACATTTCAAGTAATCATGCTGGGGTTTGTTGCTTCCAGGGCATGTTATTCTCTATTTATCAAGAATTTAGCCTCATCTAAGTTGTCACTCATGGTCTATGTAGATGATATTATCATTATTGACAGTCAAACTTTTGAAGTAAATGATGTGGTGTAGCAGATTCACTCTGTCTTTTCTCTTAAGGATATGGGTGAACTAGAGTAGTTTCTTGGCATGGAGGTTCAACAGTCCTGAAAGGTGACTTCTAAACCAAAGAAAGTATATTACTGAGTTACTAGTCAAAGCAAACTTGTTTAATGTCAGGCCAACTCCTACTCCCATGGTAGTTGCCCCAAAGTTACAAGTTGGGCTTGGACAGAGGTTCACTGATATACATTTGTATATAAGTATAATTGGTGGGTTACAGTATGTGTGTTTAACCAGGCGAGACATTGCATATGTTGTGAACAAGGTGAGTCAATATATGAATGATCCGTATGATGTTCATTGGAAATCAGTGAAGATAATTCTCAGATACTTGTGAGGAACATTGAATCATGTACTTTTTTCGGTCCACTAGTGTGTTTAATCTGGTTGGTTACACTGATGCCTCATTTGTTGAAGACAAAAGGTCAACAACAGGGTATTGTATAGAACTTAGGTCTAATCATATAACATAGTGTTCGAAGAAATAGAGTGTGGTTAGAGCAGTTATTGTTTGGCCTACCTTTGGCAAGTAAGCCAAATGTGTGGTATGACAACACATCTACGGTCTCCATGGCAGCCAATCCTACTCATCATACTAGGATAAAGCATGTGGAGATAGATTTTCATTTTGTTAGGGAGAAAGTTCTTGCAGGAGAGCTGATTGTGAATTATGTGCCTACTACATAACAAGTTGCGGATGTGCTCAGTTCCACCGAACATGAACGTGGGATAAGTTGGAACATGGTTCAGATATTGGAATGGGGACGATCAATATGGGTTTCTTGTGGCATTCCAGCATTTCTTTGATTGAAACTTTCCACCTCATGCATCAGTTCATCTTTTGTATGGTTGCAAGATGTAATTACCTGAAAGCAGCGTTTTATGAAGAAAAAGATTGAGTGGAAATTTTTACCATATTCCTTAAACCTTCTCAAAGCTAATCTCAGGACTCGAAGAATATTTAAACTTAAAGCTCAAGCTTGAGTAGACTCGAGCAACTATAGCAGGTGAAACTGCACTTTCAAGTCCCTTTTCCATAGAATTTTTAGTACTTCTATATTTTATATGTAAGTATATATTCAGAAAGCTCATACTCGAACTCAAGCTTTGATTTCAACTGCTCTTGTTTCGGATAAGCATGCAAATTTATTAAAATAAAATAAA